AAAATGTGAATAAATTTGATATTGCTTACCTGTGATACGTGTGATATTTTAATTCTATTCATTTCATATAATTGTTTTATGTTTTATTCTAATATGAAATATTATATTTAATATTTTAATCCATTTAGGATTTGTTTATTTTATTCCATTAATGATATGTATTGATACTGATGAGTATTTTAATCCATCTAGGATTTGTTTATTTTATTCCATTAATGATATGTATTGATACTGATGATATTAATAATATTATGAATTTATATAAATTATAATTAAGAGATTTCAAGGAAAAATAAAAAAAAAATCCATCTGGTTAAGATACAAAAAAAAAGTAAAATATTAAATAATAAACTAACAAATTTCATAACTTATACTGTGCATTTAATAAAATTGATCAAAGATTATAGATTAACTTCTTAATCAGTAATTTAATCAGTTCCATTTCTTACTTTTGTCCATAGTTACATTGTATTTTTTATAAAAGATATAATTTCTTTTTTTTTTTTTTGTTTTACAGATCTCGTTTTTTATGCTTCTTGTGCCATTTGTTTAAAAATATTATTTCAATTGTAATTATAATTCGTTATTAAATTTTATTCCTGAAAATACTTTTCAGGAATAAAATTTAATAAAGAAAATAATGCATCCGGTAATTCCGGAATGCTCAGTGAATTGAATTGAAATAAAATCCTCTATCTTTACTTATCACATCTTCATTCATATTTTCAAGTAATCTAAAATATAGCCTCATTTTTTATTAGCAATAATATTCCATTATTTTGTCATACTTCTTTATTTTGTACCAAAATATTTCCCTTTTACATTACCTATACTTTAACATTATATATTACCTATACTTTTACATTACCTATATCTATTATTTAACCATATATGCCTTATTTAATTTATATTTATTTCATTCCGGTGTATTCATTCAACATCAATAAAACTTTTTATTAAACTGTAATTGAGTTAATTGATCCTCATTTTTCTGCTTCTTTTTTTTTATCATTATGAAATAGGCTTATCAAAAGATAAGTTTTGATAAGGTTTAAAATTTTGAAAATAATGAAATAAGTTGCTGGTTTTTTTGAATATTTCCTAATTAGATTAATATAAATCATTAAAAAATTATATCATGAATTGGAAGTATTAATAAAGATTATATGAAAAATTGAGAATATCTTTTTTAGCTATTTATAACGGATATTTGGCCTAATTTTATTCGTCTAATTAATCTTTTGCCTATTTTTAACATTAATATGAGGAGAAGAATTAATATTTTACATTTAAATGTTAATATCAGTAACATTTTCAAATTTCAATTTTATTTTATCAAAATTTCCATCGTTCTTGATAAAATTGGAAGTATCAAAGAGGTATATCGTAATGATCGTATAGCCAAATATTTTCCAATCAAAGAAAAAAAAAATTAAAAGACCGATATTTCCTGAATTTTTTAATCATAAAGAAATCTAATATACATTGTTACTCTTAACAATTTTCATTTTTCGTACTGAAATTGTCTCATTTAATGTTCAAATTTTGAAATTTCATTTTGCTCCTCTCATTTTGCAGTTTGATAATTAAAATTAAATTTTCAAGTTGCATTTAATGCACAATTTTTCATTTTGTTTCTCCTGTTTTTATCGCTTAGTAATTGGAATTAAAATTACAAACATCAATTAATGTTTGAAATTAAATTTCATTTCTCCAATTTTTATCTTTTAGTAATTGAAATTAATGTTTGATTTTTCATTTTGTTCCTCCAGTTTTTATCATTTAGTAATTATATATGAATAATTTATTTCTAATAAGGATTGACCCAGTATACTAATTTTTGTTTATTTATTCCGCAGAAATTTGATATATCGCAAATGGAGAGGGGAAAGGATATAGTGGAGGAAGAGGAGTAGGAGGAGGAAAAGAAGGAGGAAGAAAAAGAAGAGGAGGAGGAGAATGAGGAAGAGAAGGAAGAGAAGGAAAAGGAGGAAGAGAATGATTTTCAATTCATTCAACTGCAAAATAGCTATGAATCCTTTCAAATTTCCTTCTGTAATTTGATACCCTTTAACAATTGCATGAATGCAAATGTTACCTGTAATTCATTCTTCACAGGTAATATTGAATTGGTTAGAAGAGTGAGAGCTGAAAATATACTAATGATATGATTATAGCAAAGATAATTATTGCTTAATTATCATGAAGGCTTAACTTTACAATGAAGTAAAATGATGATATCATTTCAGTCTTTATATTTAACGATTTTTTTTCCCCCACTCAAAACATGAACAAGCCTAAGTAATACTTAATTCATTTCCTGGCTCATTTCCCTTGTGATTTCACTTCAACTAAATATTTCTTTTCACTTATTCCCCAAAAGACATTTTACTTTCTTTTTAATTTTTCTTTTTTTAATCTTAAATTTTTTTCTCATTTTTGTTGCTTAGCTTATTGTAATCTGAATTGATCCATTTCCGATATTTCAGTATTCAAATACTTTTTAAGTAGTTGTGATTCTTCTAAACAATTATGTATTATGATTGAATCCAAAAAAAAGAAAAGTGAAATTGCAACAAATAATGGAATAAAAATTCAAATTTGATAAAAATACTCAATTACTGAAACTTCACCCATAAAGTTCAAACTGTATTTCAGTATTGAAATACTTTTTAAGCAGTTGTGTTTCTTCCAAATAATTATGTATTATAATTGGATTAAAAAAAAAAGAAAAAAAAGTGGAATTGCAACAGATAATGAAATAAAAACTCAAATTTAATAAAAGTACTCAATTACTGAAACTTTATTCATAAAATTCAAATTGCAGCATTTATTTGTGATAATCTGTCGTCATAATATGTGATAGCAAATACAGCGTCTACTGTAAAAGCAGAAACAATGAATCAAAATACAGTTAAAAATGAGCATATTGATAATACGGTAGTTGTTTAATCAGTTATTGAGGGAAAATATTTGTAATAAATTATTTCAAATCCTTCCTAATAATTATTTAAGGCTAAAAGTTCATTCCAATAATTCCATATGCAAATTATTTTAATAAATGGATAAAATTATTAGTGACAAAATGTGCTATTTATGGTTTATGTATAATTTAATTATAAACGATGACATATTTGGTTTTTTTTTTTTATATTTTACAGACTTTAAAAAAAGCGGACATTAGGAATGATAATGATACCCGAAATAGAATTAAATACATATTTACTCATAAATACATAAAGCATTCAAATTATCCATCTTTTTAACTTTGCTTTTCTTTTTTCTTCGTCCTCTAAAAAAATTCAAACAAAGTTTTAATTAAACTGAAATTTTTTTTTTTTTAAATTGTAATTTGTCTTTTTTTCTTTTTTCACCTGATTATCTTCAATATTATCAGTCTATTTATCATAATTTTCCAAATTTTATGCTTCATCCAAAAATCTTTCAAAGTTATTCTAAAATGATATCACCAAATAATGGGAACAATAATCATTGATTGATAAAAAGAATGAAATAAATTAATTAATCAAAAAAAAGAAGGAAAACGAAAAAGGAAAAAGAAAAAGACGAAAGCACCTCAACTACATTGGCTTTTGTAATATTTTTTTTTTTTCATTAACGACACATACATTGACTTTAATCATTCCGTATGACACTTTGACACTTAGATGACAAAATAATCGAATGATCGGATTAATTTGTATAATATTCAAGAGAAGAGAGAGAAGGGGGGGGGAAAAAAAAAGAATATACATATATTCATGATTAATTTAGTTATAAATTAAAATTTGTCAAGAATTTGTTTTGAAAAAAATCACATAAATTTAGAAATTTGAACGTGCAGAAAAAAAAAAAACGAAAAACAAAAATTAGAAATAAAATTTAAAATTAATCATTTATTGCTATGAACGTTTAAAATCACAACTTAAAATACGTATAAGTGTTTTTTTGAATTGTTGATTAGCCATAGCATAACAAAATGGATTAATTGGACTATTCATATAGCATAGAAAATAGCTAATAGAATAGAAGAAATTGAATATTTTTGAATTTTTACATGAATCACAAAATCCCATTACTGTTGCTAAGACATAAAATGGTGTCCAAAGGATTGTAAATGTTCCAAGGATAAATGTTATTGTACGTAATGCCTGAAAAAAAAAAAGAAATAAATAAAAAATAAAAAGATTTATTAATATAAATTTCAAAATTTTTATTGTAAATTTCAAAAAAAAATTTTTTATATAAATTTTAAAATTTTAATATGAATTTCAAAAAAAAAAATTTTTTTAAATGTAAATTTTAATGAATAATTTTATTTATCAATTTTTCTAAATGTTTTATTCTTTATAGAATTTCAAACTTTTTCTCTTCCATTTCTTTTTTTTTTTAAATTAATTAAAATATTAAAAACCTTTCGTGCGCGATTTTCAGATTTTGATTTGTATTCATTCTTACATTGTTGTTTTTTAAAATCTTCCCAAACTTCTTTTACGTACAACATTAATTATATTGTAAATGCCTTGTAATGAATGTTTTCGTTGCGTAAAATTGAGCAGTTGTTAGCAATGGTCGACGTACTTCTTCTGATGTCACCAAAATATGTTTCGGTTCTTCGATAACCTTAAATTAAAGAATTGCTAAAAGGATGAAACAATAGAGTAATTACTAA